TTCTTCGAGAAAATACTCAATAGTATCCAATGTTGCCAAGCTATGCGAGAATACCAAAACCTTTTCATCAGACGATTCACATTCTTCGAGAATAGAAAATAATAATCGCATTTTATTGGAAGTTTCCATTCTTTTAAGCTCATCATTTGTACAATGATCTCGCCACCATTGCCCAAAAGTAGTAACGACTGGACCAGAAACGCTAGGAATCAATTCGTTTTCGGTGCCATCAATATCGTCCGTATTATTCAGAGCTTTTGGATGATTGCAAATCAGATTAAATATATTTTTGTCTCGAAACAATTTATTGTATTTTTTTTGTTGCGATCTTTCACTGTCAACTACACCAAGAAACTTCTATGAATAAAATATAAAATGTTTTTTGAAGTTATAAGCATTAAAAAATAACCTTAATCAAATTAAATGTTAAACCAACCTCATATAATCTTTTTTGAATGTCAGTTAAGCAAACATATAAAACACATTCGTCTTTTTTAGGCATGCCAGTTATGTGCAGGCCATTTCTTCGGTGTATGTAGGGTTTAAGTAAGTCGTGCAAAATAAAGGAGCGATATAGCATTTTTGTAAATTGTTCTTCTGATGAGTCAATATACTGGCCTTTTTTCATTGGCACAATGAAAGTGCTGCTATACAGGTTCAGAGCTGATTCGTCTGTTTCCACATCAAATAATGTGTACCAAATGTCATTTTTAATAAACTTCATCATATCGTAATCTAAAATATAAGAAAAATTATGAATGTATCGATAAATCATTGACGTTTAGATATTGGACATTTACATTCGATCAAATTATTTTGCAATGGCGTTCCGCTCAAAATAATGTGACTTGGAGTTCTAACCTTATTGGCCATCTTATTTCTGACTGATTCTGGATTTTTCAATGTATGACCTTCGTCACATATAAGCAAATTACAACCATTAAAGGTACTTTCATCGTCCTTCATCAAATTACAAAATTTTTCGTATCCAATTATGAAGACACCACCCACTCTTTCTTTACGCCAATTTCTTATGATGGCATCGATGTCTCTCTTTGAGCTGTAATCCATACATATTCAATATTTGCACCGAAGCCTGATCATGCCTGTAGCTAACAACACCTCTAATGCGTATTCCGAGTACTAAATGACGTTTGTGACAATATGGCCGTCACGGTTTGGCAAAATCATAATGAATCGATTAAACTGCGTTAAACTGTTAAATAAAACAGTAGAAATAAATAGATTTTAATTTTTTACATTTTTTAAAATAAAAAATCTTTTGTTTTTTAATTTTGTGAGATTTTCTGTCCACAATATTCAAAAATATTAAATTAATAAAAATTAATTGGTTGACATAACCTCACTTTTGTGTCACAATCGTGATAAACTGATTAAATAATTATTGGAATGTGAATTTTGTGAACACATTTCGGTCCATTTGTTGAGTTCATCTTCCCAATTGTTGATCACGATTATTGGACAAACTATCAAAACCTTTGCAGTCGGGTTTTTGGTCATAAATGTGTGAATGATTGTTACGACTTGCAATGTTTTACCTATAAATGTTTATGAGCGAACATATTATCAACATGACTCCAGAAATGTATGACATTAACGTATGATGACTCATGGGTGATGAGTAATATGAATATATTTTTTTAAGACGAACGCATCAGTGTAAGGCACAACGGAATTTTGAGGAGAAGATTTTTGATTTAAAATTTAATAGACAGAATTCAAAATAACAAAATGAATAGATGGAGTATAAAAATATTTCGTCTCTTAGTATAATAAACACATTCCGTTTATTTATCGATAACGCACTATATTGGATATCATTTCGTCATTTATAATACACGTCTATGATAATGTACAGAAAACAAACAGAATATAAGAAAGTTGACATTGAAACTAAACTTAAAATTTGGGAAAATATCAACAGTTCAGAAATCTAAAGAAAAAACTTTAGATTTCAGAATGTTACATGTAAACCAAAATCGTCTTTAGTTTTCTGGAAGATTTAGATTTCTGAATCTTTAGATTTCCGAGCGTCGACTGTAGTTTTAAAGCTAACATAAATGTATTGGAACTATGTAGCTGTGTTTGATTATCTGAATAAATTCGATTATAAATAGTCAATTTCTTGCAATCATTTTAGTTTGTGAAAATTTTATTCCAAAATGATGTCCAGAGGATTCATCTTTATTCTCGCCTTGATTTGTGTCTTCAAAGTGTCTGAAAATCAAGAAAATATTTTTTTTTCATGTAGTCCAGGCTACTGTATTTTGGTTTCGCCGCGTTTAGAGATGGAATGTGTACCGTGCACATATTCCATCGCACCGGTGATTCAGCAGTCACCGGTGTTAACGGAGATGCCGGACCCTATTGTAGGGCTGAAATATCCTAATCATCGAATCCAACATGTACAAGGTGCACCGTATTATGTGAATTTAAATATTGGTAAGAAAATCTATACATAAATTATGGAAGCACTCGCAATTCGTAAATGTATGACGTTGATTTAACCGAGTTTGCATTTTGTTCACTCTCAGGCGCAGCAATATTTTCATTTTCGGTATTATTGCTGGTCAAAAATGTTTCCACTATGAATATATTCATTTTCATTTTGAACACAACTATTTTCACTGATTTGCCAACGTTTTAATACTACTAATAAATCAATAACTTATTAATAATGACAACTTTTGTTATTTTTTAGATGAAACTTGGCTACATCATGGAGAAAAATGCTCAGGTTGTCAAAAATGTTATCTCGCCCAATTACGTAAGCATTAAACAATAATCGACTGTCTTCCTTATTTATATTTATAAAATAATGAAAACGATTTTATCAGGTACTGTCATCAGCCCATTGTTTCAAGGATTTCGAAAAAGCCACCATACAATTTACAAATGGCAAGACTAAAACAATAACCAAAGATGATGTAGTATGCCATGAAGCGTACGTCTTCAGTGAAAAGAATGCTCAACATGATATAAGTGTCATAAAAGTTGAAGTTCCTTCAATTGTGCATGTTGGTTTGAATTTTTTTAAACATGGAAAAAAATTAACGGCTGTTGGCCTTGATAGAAGGCAAAGATATTCTTGGAAATCTTTCCAGGACAGAATCATTATGCTTAATGCAAAAGAAAAAGCTTGCAATGAGTATAATGTCCTTTGTATTGAAATTGAAGGAGGATTTGCTTCTAGCTCTCACGGGGACTCAGGTAAAATCTAATTATAACTATACATGTATGTATTTTTATACTCTGTTATTGGTATTTTTATTCAGGTGCTCCACTCATTCAAGATGGACGTGCCGTAGGCATATTAAGTATGTCTCATGAAGAGGAAGGAGAAAATATGGTATTCTACACGGATATTCAACAAAATGAAGGATGGATAAGAGCAAAAACTGAACGTTCAGTCCTAATAGCTGGCATATGATTTTTGTTTGAATTGGATAACTTTATTGTATGCTTCTATTATTATTATATCATTACCGATGACACCACTCGTAATTGCTCCCCTCTGCATCATACATTTGATGAAATAAAGAATATATTTTTTATTTTTCAAAACCTTTTTTAATTATTTTTTATTCTAACATGATTTTGATTTGAATTTTCCTCACATGTTCGCCAACAAACATGGTGACCACATCAATAACAAAAATTGTCATTATTAATAAGTTATTGATTTATTAGTAGTATTAAAACGTTGGCAAATGAGTGAAAATAGTTATGTTCAAAATGAAAATGAATATATTCATAGTGAAAACATTTTTGACCAGCAAAAAAATACCGAGCTCTGCAAGCTCTCATTCGATTGGGTTCTCTATGGTTTTTTTTTTTTATTTAGATGATAACAAATATTTTCTACCGAGTATGATGAAGTCCAATGCAAGATGCAACCCACGTCTATATATAACTTTATTCGTTGATAATAACAGATCAACAAGCTCACATGCGCATATTGTAGCACAAAACTTTGTACCGAACTTAGACGACATGAGTTTACATCTAGGGGGAATTATCTATATGTTTATACGGTTTATACGCAAGTATTTTTTACTGAATATACTACAAATAGATGAAGACATCGCAAGTATGCCGCATATACGCTGCATATTTGCGTATAAACCACATATATACGGAGTTATTTGCAAATATTATTTACAAATATTCTTCCGTATATGCGGTTTATATTCTTATACGCAGCATATTCGTAACTTATTTTATTCGATATTTTCCCCTAGGTTTACATTTTTTGTCAATTATGCACAAATTGTTGCTTTTCGAACATCACTTGTTATCATTTTTTTGCTCGATGAACTATAATATTTAATCAGTTTACGAACAGATGAAAGGAATTTGTTTTGTAAAATGGTGATTAAAAGAAACTTACAATTTTTTTTCTCTGTTGAATCGAAGCGAGAAGTGATCGTTCATTGCTGAGCAATGCAATTTTAAGAAGAAACAAGAATCGCCATTCAAATCATTTTTTCTTCAATTAATATTGCTGATTTTATTTAAATTTCACTCAGTGATGAAACGACACAGATTGGATCCAATAAACAACATTTAAGCAAAATGTTTTCCGAAAAGAAGCATGCATCGTTTTTTATTTATTCTCAACATTTACATTTCATTCAAATTTTAAACAAACAATCAAAGGTAATCTTGAATCTTGAATTTTGATCACGTATTAACAACACTTATTATGATAAAGATGATAAATGCGAAAAAAATATGAAGCAAAAGAAAAATTCAGTTAACCATATTTAACAGCAGAATATATTTGAAATTGCTTCGAATCATTTATACAATGTAAGTATTTCCATTAAAACGTTTGATTGAAAATCAAAATATTCACAACCAAATAACCAATTGAGACGAAAGTAGTAAAAATTCAAATTAAACTGAAATCTTCAATGGAGACGCATTTTTACATGAAATTGCTGATAATCCAAGCCTTGTTCAGAACAAGTTGTTCTTCATCCAGGTTTTTCAACGAAATCTTTCTCCGTCGTGTTTACTCTGTTTCAATTTTATTTCCCTCATTCGCTGTGTGTTTTTCTGCTCATTCTTTGTTTTGGATGGTTAAAGCAAAATTCTCAAAAAGGTAAATTTAACAAGAAAATTCCAGGTATTTAAATGTATCAAAATTTTCCTGTGTTGTATTTATAAATAACGATTTTCTACTTTTGAAACGATTTATGGGAGAAAATAAAATTGGCCGAAGGAATCATCCAAAATATTTTGCATTGAAAATGGAATAAATTTTATTCATATATACGTATATTGATAATATTTAGTTTATTTAGTTTATTTCATACATTTTAGATTTTTTTTACATTTTCAAACATTTCCTCAACTGATTGCAACATAGATAATCGTTAGCCATAACTATAACATGCCTGGAGGAAGATGAAGAGTGGGGAAACCATTATAAGAATCACATGATCTATGCCATTCATACGAGTTGGCTCGTTTCATTTCAATCAAGTTCAAATTGGTGGTACCATTCTTGGTGGCCCATTTTGTTGCCAAGTAGACTGCATCTGGTACATAAATTGTAACTTTTCGTGCGTCAGCCAATTTTTCTCGTTCTCGATTCAACACATTCAGCTCTAGTATCTCCGCCGACCTAAACCCCAATATCTTGATTTTCCTTAAATTTTTCAATTGTTGAATGATGCGCAGAATATCGAGCGATTTTCTAAACAAATGAAGACGCTCCACATTCATGAGTCTATCCAAATTCAAAGTTTCATTTTCGTCAGCATATGTATAGTAAGCATCGCTTGTTTCAGCATATTCGTTCAAATAGGTCAAAAGCGGTGCAACGTTCTCGTTCATGCTGTTAAGGGCAAGCTGTTGCAAAAACGGCATCTCAGAGATGGGATTATTATGATTTAAAGCTGATGGTTTACATTGTAGGTTGCTAGATATCCCTCGATATGCAATTACACTTGTGTTTATGTGTAGGCGCTTGTAGAAACCATGAGTGTGAAGTCGACTTAACAAATCCCATGCAATTTCCTTCTCATCACACTCACAAACCCAAAACGATTTGTCTATCAATTCAAATGTATCCAGCTTGACTTTACAATTGAGTAATGCATCTTTGTTGTACGATAATGTTAGGAAATTGCATGAAAAATGACGTACATTGGGATTACGTTCGAAAAACGTGCATAGTTCATTTATTCTATTCCTTTTGTCAGGTGTCCGAAACCAGGGGGTGCCCAGACCCAATCGCTCAAGCTTTTCATATTTTTGCAGCAACCATTTATATTCATTTCTGTTTTTGAAATTCATTTTAATCAATTGAATATTTCGCAAATTTTTACAATACTTCAAGATAACATCGTACAGATCTCGATAGACAGTACATCGTATTAGTTCCAATACTTCGATATTTGGCAAAATATTCGAAATATAATCAACTGTTTGCTTATTGAGGCGCACATTTGTGAGAGAAAGTTTTTTTGACTGATTTTAATTCATCGGCATTCAATTGAAAGTACTTAAATTTGCCTAAATCATAGTGTATGATAACTTTACAGTGATATTTAGTTTTGTGCCACTTGTTTTCTTTAAAAATATTATTTTCTATGGCGATCCAAGTGATTAATTGAATAAAACCTGGTATTGGGATACACTTATCGATGCTAATTTTATGAATCAAATCATCTGTATTTATGCAATAAATACCATTGCTTAAACAATTAAATTTAATAGCTGAATAATTTTGCTTGAAAAATTCGCCCGTTATTTGTTGCATTGTTTTACATGTTTGGCCCAATGAATGCAGATCCTCCAGCGAGAGATACTCAAATAGTTCGTCGAAACAATGGCCATTCAATTTGAAAATTCGAGATGACAATAGAAGTTGGTTTTCATTCGATGGGCCTGCAACTGGCATTGCATTCGAATTTTGACCATTTTTTTGAGTCTGCTTTCTTCGATTTTCATTCACACCACTCGCATTGCTGTTTTTTCTTTGTGCCAATTTGATAAGATTGTTCCCCATCTCAGTTTCGCTTTTTTTTAGATTTGTTTAGATACACTGAAGAACGCTGTGATATAATCTACAAAATGAAATGTTTTATTCGAGTTATTTTTTTCTTTCAAAAGCACCAGAACGAACACAATCCAAAAAAATTAAACAATTCGAGTTGAATATGGCAATTACAAATACCTTAAAATTTTAATTTGTGTGAATGATGTTAGTTCAAAAAAAGCCACGTATTTATTTTTATTCTCCCTTTTCCGAAGTTTGAAATAATATTTCTTACAAGGTTCATCCGTTTTCAATCAAGTTTCAAAGACAACTGAATTTTGAGAACAAATCGTTAAATGCATTCCTGGTCGGTAACATCAATTAGGATAGTTAAAAATGGTCAGAGAGCATCCTTTGTTGTGACAGAATTGATAGTTACAATTTTCAAGTGCACTTTGGAACCATTAGAGAAAGAAAAGAACATATGAAAATTGTGATGGAGAAGAGGCAAAATTCAAAATGTTTTATAAGTGTCACACGATGCTGTTTTCAAGTTCATGTATTTTCCAAGAAATAACTTTATAGATAATCCTGATAATCGGAGATTTAAATATTTTTACTTTCCCGCACACACCAAGTGTGTAAGGTAAAATATTGTAATCAGGCAAAATTTTCAGGTACCCCAAAAACATGTTTTCTTGACGTTTTTTAGGTCACAGAATACGAATCAAGCGTTTTTTCGATATAGTAGTGTATGTGTGTGGTACACTGTACGACGCTGTACCCTGTACGCAAAAATTTGTTAACACGATATCTTTTCACAGACAAAACGAAATCCAAATCCGACTTCACAGGGTGGTAGAGATTTAGATTTTAAGCTATGTTCGATGATTATCACTTCACGAGAGGTACCCAAAATATGAAGATCACATTTTTTGATATAAATCGATTTTTAGCTTTTTGTTATCTTGTAATGAAGACACATTAATTAAAAGAAAATGATTTGATAATAAATATTTGTATTTTTTAATGATAATATTTTGATATATGCCAAGTCCCATATCATGAGCCAATATACATCCATGCTTATCTTGGAATAATGCCTTCCACATAAATGCAACACTTTCCTTTTGGTGTGGCTTTAATTCTTTCACCAAATCTTCATCTACTTTAATGCCTTGTTCGGCAAGCAATATTAACTGATTCTCTTGATTCATATTGCTCTTAATTATTATTAATTTTGCAAAAAAAAACGCACAAAATAAATTCAGAGTAAACAAGCGCGTTAGTTTCTTATCTGCCGTATCTACGCGCAAATACACCACGTCATACTAAATTTCATCATTTGGAACTATACCAACACAATCCGATTTCGTTTTCGGAAGAAACACATAGCAGATCATAGCATGTGACCAAATACATACACAAATCTTACATTAGATGCCGCAGACGATAAGAACAAGTTTTTTGTTGGCATTTAAATTTGAACTGTTACTTATTAAACATCCAAAATCACGGCGAAGCATTTATTTATGTGTGAATTTTTCTTATCACAGCATGGAACTATTGTGCTGAATCAGTCAAATGCTAAACTGTTTTTCAGTGAATTCTTTCGCTTTCAAAAAAAAAAAATTATAAAATAAAATAAAGAGAAAAATTAGCACAACAAAAACAAACAACTCTTTTGTATTTTTCATTTCCATTCGATAGGTTTATTAATCTCACAACAGCAAGAGAACAAAGTGAAGTAAAATAGTTTTTATAAGGTGTAACAATTATTATCTGTGTTCACATGTGCCAAACGTAATTTCATAAGAAAAAAAAATCATTTCATCGAAACCGAACGAAACATTCAACGTTTTATCCAACAAATGAAAATGAGCGAAAGTGTTTGTTTGTGTGCAATGCATATGTGTGATATTTTTGGATTTACAAATTTTGCATTATACTTCTCTTATACTCTTTTCCCTTTCACATGTCGAATACAAACAACTACAAAGAACTTTTCATTTTATTGATGCCAAACAATTGGGTTCATGAATAGAAAAGTTATGTATATTTATTGTCAATTCAAGTTGTGATCAAAATGAAAATCTATACTGATGAAGCATACATGAAAATAAGCATAAAAACTAAAGAAAATACATGTAATGGATAAAAAA